TTATAATGTCTAACCAAGTCAGCAGAGCCTGTAATTTAGTGCTTGTCTTTGGTTGATGTTTGTCATATTTGTTTTTCGTTTATTCAGGCTGTAGTTTTTTTTGATTGTATGGTTTGTCAGGCCTTTTATAGCAGACTTTATTTATGTGGTAGTGGGTTTTGTCAGGCCTTTTATAGCAGACTTTATTTATGTGGTAGTGGGTTTTGTCAGGCCTTTTATAGCAGACTTTATTTATGTGGTAGTGGGTTTTGTCAGGCCTTTTTTTTACCTAATTGTTTAAGGCAGTATGGTGATCTATAATTTCTTAAATTTATGTCATTTGGACTCTGGATGATTGTCCCTTATTCAATCATATAAACCACATCTTTTTATTTTATACTGTAAATGTCTTTTTGATTTTATTGGGTTTTTTGGTTTGCTGTATTATCGAAATATACCCAATATTTATTTTAATTTATAAATTCTAAAGATGTACATACATGTACACATGTATAGATGTGTTTGGTTATTTGTGTTGTTGAGTTGCTGTCTCAGTGACATTTACCCCACACCATGTTTTCATGTCCCTGTCGTAGCCGAGGGGGTATTAAGGTTTACCCTTGTCTCTATATCTGTGCATCCGTCCGTGCCGAAATTGGTTTCCGATCTTTTAACTTTAATTGGTCTCAACCAAATGTTATGAAACTTATCCACAATGTTTATTACCACAAAACTCAGATCAAGCTTGTATTTGGGTGGTGCCACTTTTACGGTTCTGGAGTTATGCCCCTTCATATATGGAAAAAATGCTGAATTTTTCATTTCTGCTCCCTTTACATTAGTTTGCCTTAACCAAATGTTATGAAACTTATACACAATGCTTTTTACCACAAAACACGGATCAAGTTCAAATTTGGGTGGCGTCACTTTTACAGTTCTCTAGTTATGTCCCTTTATACCATTATATGCAAGTGGGGGCATCATCTGTGTCCCATGGACACATTCTCTATTTATTTCATTTATGTTTCAGTTGAATGTTTACATTCTGTTTAATACCTAATTCTAAAGTTTGATATCAAAGATTGCACGGTCAGAATGTCTCAAGGTTTGTCCACTAACAGCCCTGTCATGGTCAGAAAGTCACAAGGTTTGATTTTATCCACTAAAAGCCCTGTCATGGTCAGTATGTCTAAAGCTTTGATTTTATCCACTAAAGGTCATTTTGCAAGTCATATAGATAGGTATAAGTTGATCTGTGTCTGATAAACACTTAGGATAAACTTTTCTGTTTGTGTGACAACATTGTAAAGGACATTGACGGTTTATTGTCAAATGCTCAGGTGACTTTATAATACCTCGGAGCTAAGTCTCTTCTGATTGTAAAGGATACAGCAAGAAATCGAAAAAGTAAACTAAAATCTGTTAACAGATATACTGCCGGCAGATAATGACAAACAGTTTCTACATTCTAAATTTAATGTGAATTTTAAGTACCGCCTACTTATATAGATAGTGTTTTTATGTACAAGTAATTTGGGTGGTGTCTGTTAAAACATTTTATAGTAGATCACAAGATTTGGAAATTTTAAAACAATAGGATGATTATTAGTCAAGCTGTTAAATAATTATAAAAAAGGATATGATTTGAAATTTGTAAAAAGTGAGACCATTTGAACTTGGAAAGTTGTGAAGGATACAATAAACGACGGTTGATTGATATACCATAATGAAACAGAGAAAGTAAGATATAAGTATATTATATAGATTATTTTAAATTCATTTTCTAAAAAAAAATTTAGAAATAATTTCCTTAGAGTGAAAGACAAACATTCTTTCAATTTTATAATTTTAAATAATATGAAATTCTGTACAATGTCAGTTAAAAAAGTGTTGTTTAAGTGTTGATGTTTTAAAAATTAAAAAATTAAATTAGGATGGAAGAAAAACTATATAAAGCTAGGTATTAGTAAAAATTAATGTACTTATTGTGGTCTGCTTACGTGGAGTACTCCTGTAGTAGAAATAGCTGTGCTATTGTGGAGTACTCCTGTAGAGGAAATAGCTGTGCTATTGTGGAGTACTCCTGTAGAGGAAATAGCTGTGCTATTGTGGAGTACTCCTGTAGAGGAAGTAGCCGTGCTATTGTGGAGTACTCCTGTAGAGGAAATAGCCGTGCTATTGTGGAGTACTCCTGTAGAGGAAATAGCCATGCTATTGTGGAGTACTCCTGTAGAGGAAATAGTTATGCTATTGTGGAGTACTCCTGTAGAGGAAATAGCTGTGCTATTGTGGAGTACTCCTGTAGAGGAAATAGCTGTGCTATTGTGGAGTACTCCTGTAGATCAGTTCATAAGGCTTACTGTGTCAGATTTCCTGAGTCAGGTACTGTATAATTTGAAAAGGGAAATTATCTCCATTGTTAAACTATTCAAAATAATTGTTAATAAATAAAATCAGAGGTTAAAATTAATGGATGTTAATCTTTAGGTCCCTGACCTTTTAATTCATATTCAGTTGGACCTTTAATTTTTTAAATTCAAAATTCAGGGAACTGGACCAGGTATGGTGATTCCATGAGTGGAATTTTAACAACTGACTTTTCAAAAGTGGCCCTTTCATTTGTAAATATAACAGTCCTAGACTTTTTACTCTGAAATCTGATAATTTGTATGAATTTGGTCAAATATTTGTAAATTAAAAGAAATTTATGATGATTTATTAATTGTTCCCGTGAGAATTATTTATATCACATCTGTTGCACGATTAACCACTCTGCTAACCTGATAAACCCATTCAGTGTAGGTGTGATATATCCTGAAGACCAGGAAACTGTGGGCATTATCTGTAAAATCTTGGAATGAAAAACAGAATTTTCCGAATTGATTTTTTTTCACCCCTAGTATTAAGAAATCTATTGAAGAGTGAGACTTCATAAGGAAGCAAGGATCATTTTTCAGGAAAAATCTATTGCCAGTAGAAAATTGAGAAGTTTTGAAAAGAAACATAGTAACATTCTTGTTTGTATTGACATGATTATATAAGAGATTTATGTATGGTGTTTCGTCTACACAAGGAAGTAATAGCATGGTGTTTATCATGTAAGACGGTACCTGACAACAAGGAATTTTGTTTATTTACTAGGCCATATATTTTATGGCTGGAAGATGACACGACTGTCATCATTATTATAGAGTTACACATAGGAGTGTGAGGTTTATAACTTTTCATATTTAGTTAGGTCTGTATTTAGATCCCAGGTGTTTTGGGGTTTTGTTTGTGGTCAATTTTTATGTTCAGAAATCATACTTGATAAAAAGTGAAATTCTGGAGCTCTGACTGTTCTGTGATCATCTGAAGCATATTAGAAAACCCCAAACAAAACGGCGTTGTGGTCAAAGACAACCACAAACAATAAAGCGTTGCTGTGGCCATATAGTCACCTGATGTATAAGGTATTTTACATAGAAATGATGCAACTTATTATTTGTGTAAAATATCGATTTTCATCTAGAAAAACAAAACACCATGATTGTCCTTAACAAAGAAGACGGGATTTCATTGATCATTCAAGGTTTTTTGATGGGTTTGTGAAGCTCAGACTTGATGAATAGTGGGGGGTTAAACTGCTTTGTGGATTCCCTGATGTTCTTTGGTTTTTATGCCCCCACCGTCACCGGAGGGGGCATTAAGTGTTACCCTTGTCCGTCCGTACGTTCCTCCTTACATGCATCCCATAATTGGTTTCCGTTCTCTAACTTTAGTTTGCCTCAACCAAATGTTATGAAACTTATACACAATGCTTAACACAGATCAAGTTTCGAATTTGGGTGGCGTCACTTTTACTGTTCTCGAGTTATGCCCCTTTATAATGTTATATGCAAGCAGGGCATCATCTGTGTCCCATGGACACATTCTCCATTTATTTTTGCCATGATTTTGTCAGTCTCCCTATGACCTACAAGTTCTTACTACTATTGTTGTTTCTTGATATTGAAACTGTTATTTGAAAGATGCAAGAATTTTATATAATTAGCACATTAAGTTGATGTTAAACAATATTTGTTAACAATAGAAATCACCTATAATGGAATGTCACCACTAGAAATTTGATAAGCTATATGTGTGACTTAGTTACCTGCTTTTTATCAATATATACCTGGGGATAGGGTAAAAGCAGCTTCTCTCAGACATTATGGACAATTTTACTACTGTAGTTTTTTTTACCAGTTTATGATTTCATAATCACTGAATTGTCTTTGAAGCAAACTAAAAATATGCCTTTTTTTTATCTTTTTCCTTAGTGTGTATTAACAGCTTCCTTAAACTTTCAGGTGGTCAGAGAAACAAAACAGTGCCAATGAAAAACATTCTGAAAAGAATTACACAAAATTAAGGCAAAAAAGAACCAGCATTAGCTGTTGCTCAGACTCAGCATTATATACAGCCAAATACTCATGATAATTTTATACAAATGGGTGGGGATAGTGTAAGATATTGTATGCAATAACCTTGTAAATAGATATGAACAAATAATCAGACATTTGTTTGTATAAAATTGACTCCTTATCATATTTAAGTAGGTTTGTATGCAGTTAAATATGTATAATATATTGAAGTACATTTCTAAATCAGATATTATCTCATCTATCTATAATTGGACAAACTACTTGAGATTATTGGGGATTTATGTTAGATTATTCTAAATATGAATACTTGTAATACACGTTTTCCAAAACTTGATCTGGTAAAGAAGAGATTTAAAATTGATCTATATTGACATGAATCAGACGACATACAGTACAAAAATGCTTATGATTAGATTGTGAAATTAAATTGAAAAATGTGCCAAATCAAAGAGACCTATACAATCTATAGTGTCTGCTAGTCTTTTAGTCATAATCATCTATTAGAAATATCAACATTTTATTTAAGGACAAAACTGTATGTACTTTAAAATTTTGGGTTTTTTTTTTAATTAAGTTTAAATTTTCTTGAAGATAAATACTGTATTTTTTTTTCAGGAAGCAAAATATGGACGGCCAGTTGTACTGTGAAGCTCATGTCCCTATCGCAAAGCCGACACTCAGTCCAGAAACAGATGACAAGGTAATGCTATACAATTTATCGTTAATGACAACTGATTGTTTGATGGTGTTTAAGGCCACTACAAGCACTCTTGACTATATCATGGCTTTTAAGTTTTTTATTGGTGGAGGAATTTAATAGAGAACCTGAAGAGATCCCAAACCTTAGGCAGGACAAATGGCAGTCCTAATCTATTAAGATCGGAGTAGAACGAACCTTGACAGGAGCTAGGTTTGAGTTCACAACCTCATAGGTGACAGGCTAGTTATCACTGTTTATGACTTACCTTGACCACTTGACCCTTGAGGCTCCTTACTACTGACAATGTGATGCAGTTATATACAACCAAGTCACTTTGTATCACAGATCTTTCAACTTTTCATTTGCAAAAACGTCACTTGAGTGTTTGAGTAAGCTCTCTTTATTTTAAGTCTGATTTTTTTTTTTAGCTATTCTCCTGAGACATCTACATATCTACCCAATACATTTATATATACATGTATAAATTATATCTGTATTTGTATTATAAACATGACAGTGTAGAACCTTGGTATTTTTTTATACAGACTCAAGCCTTATTTGAGATGCTGATACAGATTCAAGAAAAGGGCAGAATTGATGATCAACGATGTGACATGCCCAATTTAATAAAGGTGAGTTACCTCCCCTGTCACATTAGCATGTTGCATTTTGAGCATCTTTGAATGGAAATAATTAACTTTATAATGAAATATATATATTTACACATTGTGCAATTGTATGGAAGGGATTTATTCAACTTAAGTTTGGCTTCTTTGCAAGAATCTCTCAAAAACTGCTGAATTTTCCAAAATGTAGGTAAAATGTACCATATGATTAAAACACAATTTTGAGTTCGTAACCCTTGGACTGAAGTTAAATTGCAGTAGTTCTCTTCATCCTTGTTAAATTTTCTTCAGTTTTCTGCAGTTTACAGGATTAAAGACAACATAATTTGTATGGGGGATCTTGCAAGGGACTTCTCTCAGCTTATTTTTCTCAGTCTTGGAACAGTCAATTTCATTCTTTTTTTCTTATTTCTCATGTTTGCTATGAAATTCATTTTTTCGTTTTTTTCTATTAGTTCATGTTACATTATCATCTTTATTTTATTTTTATTTTTTTCGTTTAAAAAAAACCGACATCAATATAGTAAAATAAAAATCTTTAATTCAATGTGAAATTTTCACATGCATGACTGTCTTACAATAATGTGACATTATTTAGGTTGGGGGAGGTTTTCTGGCCTTGAATTATCAAATGTTCATTCATTTCCTATGAATAAATTAATCCTATTATTATTTATAAATTTTTAAATCAAAATATCAATATATGGTTTGTTTTAGAACATAAATATGAAATAATATAAATTATTGATTTATTAATTGACTGGTTATTAAAGTTTATGGCATAGTTATGTTAGCTTTTGCAGGTTTAGGTGACAGTTTTTACACATAAAAATGTCAGAAATACATGTACATGAATAATATTAGATCAGCATCTAGACTTTTAAATTTTTTTAATGAAAGTTATTTTTTCAATTTCTATTGGTTTGTTTTTACTGTAATGATGATAAGAAAAAGATATAATAGTTAAATTTGATACTGGTGCATTAAGAGGGAGAAGTTTAGATCATAGAATAATTTTTACACATCTTCTGTGTCCATGGTCAGTTTAAAGTGTCGAGATTAGGTAACCCAAGTTCACACTATGTAATGTTACTATAGTAAAGTGTAGATCTAGGATGAAAAATGTCACCAGATCAGTGACGTGCATGATTAGTCAATGTATCACATAAACATGTACATTCATATAACTCTTAAATGGACAAAATCAAAAATGATTACTGCATCTAAAAATAGGGTAAGTCTCAGGGATTCTAGTTTATTTCTCAAAGAAAAAAAGTTTATTGTCTTATTTGCTTATCTATACAAATAGTTTAACATTTACTAAATTCAAAAATTTAAAATGGATTTTAGAATGTGTCAAGGGGGATATACAAAAAAAGTTTTTTCTGGAGCTTAAGAATTTAAAAGAGAAGTATGTTTTGTTTTATTGAATTACCCTTCTGGAGGTTTTATATAATCTATTCCAAAATCTCCTAGATTACAACTTTTGTTTAACCTCTATTTTCATTGATGTGCAAATAGCCGCCTCGACCATTGTTCTCCAATAGTATATAGGCTTAATTATATAATAAGCTTTGCCAAAAAAAAGTTATATTCAAATATTTCAAGGATTTGAATCTTGATGAAACTTAAAAAGAAAGAAAAAAGATTTTTTTTTTTTTAATTAGAAAATTATTTTCTTCTGTTTATAGTAAGAGGAAACAATATCTCAAGATGGAGTAATTATTTTCAATGTCTGTTGCTCAAGGACAATATTCTTATGGAAAATTGACACAAAGTGGTAAAATAAATAGCCATTGACATAACTTCCGATATAAATATTTTGGTAATGGTGTATGAATCACGACTTGTGAATGAGCTTCTTGTTAAAGTACTAAATATTTGACAGATTACCCAGTGGTTAAATGTTTGACAATTTACTAATCTATAAAATAACAAAATAGCATTTAACCTGATATGATTAATTTGTGATACAGTCATAAAATATAATTCAAGATTAAATTTTAATATATTTTTACAATTATGAATCATTTACCGGTAAGAAAAAAGTGAAATATACAATTATTTCAAGAAATTCCTTATCTCAAAAACTCCAAATTCTGGAGCCACTGAACATTAAGCAAGCAGCAATCAATTCAAATCAAATTCTGGAGCCACTGAACATTAAGCAAGCAGCACTCAATTCAAATCAAATTCTGGAGCCACTGAACATTAAGCAAGCAGCAATCAATTCAAATCAAATTCTGGAGCCACTGAACATTAAGCAAGCAGCAATCAATTCAAATCAAATTCTGGAGCCACTGAACATTAAGCAAGCAGCAATCAATTCAAATCAAATTCTGGAAGGTTATGTCATACATCTCGTTAAATTTCTTGCCATCAAGGACAAAAAATATATTTAAGCTTCATTTTATCTGTGGTCTTTTGGAAGCCTAAAAACATAGTTTGATGACTGCAAAATAATTTTATGTCTTGTTGAGTACATAGAGGTCTATTTATAGATTTCATGTAGAAAAAAATCAACAATTAAAAGCCAAGATAATAATTATCCATACTCAAAATTTGAATATTTCTTACAAGTTTAGTTTTGTACGTTACTGTATTATTCAGAAATTATTGCAATGTTTTATTTCTGCAAAAAATGCACCAGCAATATTAATGAAAACTTGTATTCTATATTAAATTTTAATAACGATTTTCTTTCACAAAATTTTTGCAATCACTTCAGGTAACAAGATCTCAAATTTTTACAAGTAATCAGTGATTTACAATAATAAATGAATGCATTAATATCTGAATTTACAGTATATATCAAAACAACAAATAATCTTCTGTTACATTAAAAAAAGTACGAACGAGATGGTCATCAGACCCCCTCAGGAACTTTATATGATGTAGGCGTACAAGATTACATAAAAACATATTTTCTCCTTAGAGAGTAGTTTATCTTTCCTATATCCAGTCTCTAGGGTGAATGTTTACCTCGAGGTATTGGACACATTGTAATAAGTTTTGGTTTTATACTATTATGGGAAGTGAGAATTAATTAAGTGTTATTTTTAATTGTTGCTACTATTTATGTCTGGTTTCCAATTTATTTATCTTCCTAACAAGTACTTCAGAGTCATTTCTAGGCTATTTTCAATGTTTTGAAGTGTTTTTAATCTCATTTGGAAGAGTCATATTCTGAATCTCTGGTTAATTTGAGAACACTCCAAGAATAGGCTGTTATTAAGATTCCATGAGGATCCACCCTCAACAAAATATTCTTAGAAAATCAATAAAGAAAAAGATATTTGTTTACACTTTGAATTATTCTTTGGTAATAGAATTTTTCTATTTTTCCTGTTAGCCATAATTAATCAAATTCTGTGTGAAGCAGGGAAAAACTTAATCTCAGTACTGTTGACTTCACTAAAAACTGACTGAAATTATTATGTGTAATTTCAGCTAAATCTTGTGCGGTGGGCTAGGAAAAACTTACTTTACTTGCCACTAAAAACTGACAGAAATCATTACATAACTTCAGCTAAATATTGTGCAATGTGCAAGGAAATACTTTTTGTAATCTCAGACCTGTTGATTTCACTAAAACTGACTTTTATGGTTTATGTAACTTCAGCAAAATCCTGTCCAACACACAAGGAGATACCTAATGTAATCACACAATTCTGTTGACTTCCCCGACAACTTAATAAATCATATATGAAACTTGAATTTAATTCTGTGCAGTGCAGAGATACTATGTAAAGAAATACTGGTACAGTCTCAGATGATGAACTTGCAGTTGATGGTTTTCTCTTACTTTACTTTATAAGGTCAGACAGAAATTGTAGGATTTCAGTATAGATTCTATATATTTTATTAAGATTTGATCCTGTTTGTAAGAACTATTTTGACAACCTACTAACATGGATATCTTATAAGGATTTATACTTTTAAAAGACATGGCTATCACTATTTCAGTTTGTTCTTTTAAAGTACATGACACACTTAAGGCCTAATTTGATAAAAATAAAAAAAAGATTTAGAATAAACTCCATAATGCAGACTTCAACATTGTTTATCAAGTATTTCTGCTGGTTAAGATTCAGGGAAGGTTTATATGGTGTTTGTTAAGTTTTTGCAAACACATTCTGCAGTTTATGATTTACATATCTATATTCAATAAGCATGTTACATTTAAGGTCACAGTTAACACTGCTAAATCACACCTCCAACACTTTCACTGCTTATGCTTTCATGACTTACCTCCCTTTAAAGCTTGTTAATTGTGAATGTACATACATACTGTTTTAGGGAGCTGATTTCTATGAACTACTACTTAAATATCAGAGTCGCAGACTTGAAGACCAGCGTTGTGCTCTGCCAGTAACACTGCAGGTCTGAGCATGATTAAGTGTGTTATCTCCCCTTCACTCTTTGCATGTTTATGTATTGTCTCCCCTTTACAGTAAAAGCCTCAGCATTTTGACAAATTAACTATTAAATTTCCCATGAATAAAGAGTAGTTGACAGCCTGTTTTGTTTGGTTTAACACAATGTTGTTGTTTTTCTCCTTAATTAACACTTTAGCATGACTATGTCAATAACTTTACAGAAAGAGAATTGTTGCAAATTGTGGTAAGCATGTGATATTAATTTAAAATGGAGAAAACTGTGGTGTCAGTAGGTTTCGTGTGACAATATATATTTAGAAATTTATAATAAGGGTTAGTAAATATCAAAAGAAAATTTTCTAAGCAAGCCAATGTTTTTTCTTTTTGTTGAAACAAGAGTTTATATTCGTTATTCCTTGCCTTGAAATAGTATTTATTGATATTGTTATTTAGTACTATGTGTGTTGTTTTTTTTTTGCTCTACCAATAACGGAAGTTTAATGAGCGTTGCACTTCCATATCAAGTTCAATGAGCATTTCAAGCAAATACAAGATAGAACAAAACTACAAATCTCAAGAATTTTCAAAAAGTAAGTGATGAAAATCTTCAATCATTACACATAAAACTGAACTACTGAACAAAATTATTGGTCTGTCGTATTTATTTTGTAACATTGTTGTACAGAGGTGTTTTTAGGACAGTTATGTCAAAGATGAGTGGTATTTAAAACATACAAATCAGTCAATCATCAAAGATTAAGTAAACATTCTCCCCATTTAAGTCTTCTACGAAAATAATAAAAAGTTTAAGGACATTAATATTCCATAACTATTCCAATAATGTGGACATTAATATAATCACTCTTTGCTATATGAATCAGCCATTATCATTGGCTAATCTTGCCTTTGGTAATATTAGTATTCATTGAAACAAATTTATCTGATTGTCTATTAAAATCTTCTCATATTCAAATTATATTATTTTCATATTACTGAGTATTAAGCTCCTTCACTTTAATACTCAAATATATTATTAATGATATGATGTGAACGAAAGAGTATGGTGTATCAATTCTTGACACTAAAAATCCCTAAACACGCATTGGTAAAAAAAGCGCAGCGGAAAATTGTTTTATTGCTATTTTTCATCTCAAAGTCACTGTGAGTAAGGTTTTCAACAAGGAGCAAAGGAACAGTGCTTTTATTGCTGTTCTTCATCTCAAAGTCACAGTAAGGCCTTCAATAAGGAGCAAAAGTTCACATCTGGCCACATATTCAATGTAGACTCACACACTGATTTGAAGGGAATTCTTTGCAATTAGTGAAAATATCACAATCAACATATATGTTAACAACCCTTAGTGAGAGAGTTATTTCTTTTATTTCTAATTTAAATTTTCTTTTGACAAATTTCAATGGAATTTAATCAGATTCAAGCAAAAAGAAAGTTAAGTATTTGAATACTGCATCTAATATAACACGATTGCCATCTCAATTATTTTCATTAAATGCCATTTTTTTCTGAGATGAAAAGACAATCTGGACAGAATAGTTAAATGTCCAATCAAAACATGACAGTCATTTTTGAATCCATTTGTAAGTTAAACATGTGATACAAATGATTTGATATACATGAAATTTTAAAAAAAAACTAAAAATCTTAGACACTCTCAAGTAAGATTTCCAGTACTCTCCTGCTCAGAAGATTCTTATTGAAGACTAGAAATCTCATCTTTGGACCACAAATTTCTTTCCCGTGAACATTTTTCCATTCTGAAATCTTCTTTTCTCCCTGATATTCTACTGCCCTCCTAATAAAAAAAAGTCTACAGTAAAGAATCCAGTTAAACCCTATGAATCAAGGTAAAACATTAACCCTGGTCTGATATAGGTCAATAACACGAACAAAATGTTTTATTCATGAATTAATAACTAAGCATAGTCTGCCTGAAGAAAAACGTTAAAAAAATAAACAACTCATAAGTTCACAAATGTAAGTTAAGTTAAAACAAGTTTTACGAGCTATCCATCAGAATGAAGTGCTACAGTTGTCATACCATATATCTGGATACTCTGTAAAGGTTTTAAAGTCATTGCTGTATCAAGGGGAAATAATTAAGTTTATTGCATACAATTAGCTTTCAGAAGACAAATGGATACTCATTGCTAGGCGCTATGGAAGGGTAAACATTTCCTGTTACAAGGACGACCTACGGGATCTAGAAGAGCATTCCTGCCTTAGGGATGTGATGGTCAAACTTAAAACAATGAATTAGTTATAACAATGATTGCACTTTCTTTATGTTTTATAATAATGATATTTGTTTATTTGCAGAATTCACCATGTGTTACTCCGACTGAACAGAGGAAATCTTTTGAAACTCTAGAAGAGGTATGGTATTATTGTACTGTGAATTAATTATTCTTCATAGTGTACCATTATTCAAGGACTTCCAATATTTGTTGGATATCTTGGGGTACCATTATTCATGTATTTCATGGGGTACCATTATTCATGTATTTCATGGGATACCATTATTCATGTATTTCTTGGGGTACCATTATTCATGTATTTCTTGGGGTACCATTATTCATGTATTTCATGGGGTACCATTATTCATGTATTTCATGGGGTACCATTATTCATGTATTTCATGGGGTACCATTATTCATGTATTTCATGGGGTACCATTATTCATGTATTTCATGGGGTACCAATATTCATAGATTTCTTGGGGTACCATTATTCATGTATTTCATGGGGTACCATTATTCATGTATTTCATGGGGTACCATTATTCATGTATTTCATGGGGTACCATTATTCATATATTTCTTGGGGTACCAATATTCATGTATTTCTTGGAGTACCATTATTCATGTATTTCTTGGGGTACCATTATTCATTATTTCTTGGGGTACCATTATTCATGTATTTCATGGGGTACCATTATTCATGTATTTCATGGGGTACCATTATTCATGGATTTCTTGGGGTACCAATATTCATGGATTTCTTGGGGTACCAATATTCATGTATTTCTTGGGGTACCAATATTCATGTATTTCATGGGGTACCAATATTCATGGATTTCTTTGGGTACCAATATTCATGTATTTCTTGGGGTACCAATATTCATAGATATTGGGTATTAATATTGATGGATTTTGTAGGGTACCAACATTCACAGATTCTGTTTATACGGGAAACCCAAGATTTCAAGTTTTCAATGAAGTTCAAATTTCCTATAGGCTCAAATGCAGAATTTTTCAAAACCATAAGGTATCCATGACACTTTTTTCCTCAATTTATGAAAATTGGTATCCACGAAAATAAATGAATCTACAGTCAATATGATTGAAGAAACAGTCTATTTTACCATATGACAGCATAGGGTTCTGTTAAAACAAAAATATGTATTTTATTCCAATCATAATACAGGATACTGTAAAATCAAAATTTATTGCGAAGGTTTTATTAATGCGAAAAATGTGCCAGTATCAGGTTGGCATTAATAAAAACTTACATTCATAATTTCAGTTGTGATTTTCCTTGACACAATTTTTCCAATCGTATTAATAAAATCTCACATTTTTACCAGTAATCAATGATTCACAATAATAAATGCCTCCATTAATTTCTGAATTTACAGTAATCTATGCAGTTGAATATGAAATTGTGGGTAGGTGAAAAACTTTAAGGATTTCTTGGTTTGATACAAAAAATGAATTTGAATTTTTACTTGTTTAATAATTTATTTAAGGAATGACTGTAATATTTTTTCTGTCTATGAAGAAATAACATCAAAAATGTGGTTATTTTAAAGTGTGCACCACATTTTTTATGTTATTTCGAATAGACAGAAAAAATATTACAGTCATTTCTTATAATTTAATTCTAAATTCCATTTTAAACCGTAGTAAACCATGAAAAAACGTTGATGACGTCACGGTCACACGACAAAATTATGTCTATGAGCTGATAAACAAAACAACGTCAGCCAATCAGAAGACGTGTTACATCCAAAATTAATTTATTACATTACAAATGTCAACCAATTTAATTTTTTTCAAACCAAATGATACATGCAAAATCAAATTTATCAGAATTTTGAACCTTAAGTTGAATCTTGTATTGCAGGTACTAAGGAAACCTGGTCCTTATCCAATGATAGTCCTGCCAGAGAATGGTGGATATTGGATTGAGGGCCATGATGATAAGAGTCCCTTCTATGAGGATGGTTCACGGATGGGCTCAGACCCCAATTTGTCTGCAGTCCTGATAGAACAAAATGAGGTAGCTCATTGCTATAGGGACCATTTTCTTAGGAAGGTTAGTAAATACAAGGAAACATGATCAGACCTTAGTTCCTACATATAAATGGAAAGTTGACAATAGGGAAACTGAAATCATCTCTTTTGTAGTAAAGATTTGTTCTCAAATGCCCATCATTGTCAAATTTTCAATGTAGATGATAAAATAAAATATATAGATAAGCTGATACGTAATTCATTGGAAAGAAGCATTTTTTTTCTGTTATGCAAATTATAACTAACAAGTGCCAAAAGTGGAGCTCAACTTCTGTTTTCTTGGGATTATTGAAATCACTGCTGTATAAAGTTATTTTTACATTTCGTACAGGTTATAAATGTTGATGAAACAGGGTAGGAATTTTGAATAAAGGAAAGAATGGCACACAATCACTGCACACACTTTACAAAACCAAAAAAGCACAATACATGGTTTATATTGCTGTTGTCCATCTCAAAGTCTCACAAAGGCTTTTCATAACACCTCACTGCCAGTTTAAGATGACTCCTACACAAATTTGTCCTTTCTTTTAATACAAATAGCAGAAGTTTGATGGCACAAATAGAGTAGACCATTATAAGTAAACAGAATACATGTAGAATCAAGAAATTTAAATGTTAACCATCGAAGCAACGAAACATTTGAGTCCTCTCAAAATGGAGAATGGTAAATTGACATAAGCATATAGAATAAAGAAAAATATTTTTTTAGTTATATTTCAAAAGCAATGTGCTACTTTTAAGCTGATTATCATTTTACATTCCAGGAACATTTTGATTATTATTGCCTTGATGAGAATGTTGGACCTATTGTTATGTCGATTAAAGATGAAAGCACAACAGATGTAGAACAACTTAGAGTTATCTTGAGGACAAAAGCTTCTACACAACAAAAACTGGTTACTATGGAGGAGGTCGATAATATACCAAATCCTGTTAAAGTTGCTAAGGTAAGGGGAAGTAACTCTTTACATAACAAAAAATAATTACCATGAAGGAGGTCGATTATGTACCAAATCCTGTTAAAGTTACTAAGGTAGGGGGAAATAACTCTGTAAACAACAAAAACTGGTTACCATGAAGGAGGTCGATTATGTACCAAATCCTGTTTAAGTTACTAAGGTAAGGGGAAGTAACTCCTTACATAACAAAAAATAATTACCATGAAGGTCGATTATGTACCAAATCCTGTTAAAGTTACTAAGGTAGGGGGAAATAACTCTGTAAACAACAAAAACTGGTTACCATGAAGGAGGTCGATTATGTACTTAATCCTGTAAAAGTTGCTACGGTAGAGGGAAATAACTCTGTGCATAAGAAAAACTTATAGCTGATGGGGGATATCAAATAATATGTTATATAAATCCCATATGGTTGGAAAGAAATCTGAATACAGTTAAACAGACAGAAAACCTGTAAATGATGTCTACAAGGGGAAGTATTTACAACCTGAACAAAATTTACAAGATTAGCACATACCTGTCAACCTCTGAAACTGAAAATGCAGGTCATGACCTTCATTGAAGAAAAAAATGTCAGGTCATAACACATACAAACTTTTTCGGTCCAATTTTAGTGTTGAGAGTTTTTTTTTATATACTATAACATATACATGTACCACTGAGTTTCCTAAAAATAATCACTTTTGTATTTGTTAAGTATATAAATATTTATCATTAATTAAATATCTTTCTAAAGCAATGCCCTTTTTTTGACGAGCCTTCGACTTTAGTCTAAAAAGCGAGACATAGCGATCCTACATTCTGTCGGCGGCGGCGTCCACAAATATTCACTCTGTGGTTAAAGTTTTTGAAATTTTAATAACTTTCTTAAACTATCCTGGATTTCTACCAAACTTGGACAGAAGCTTGTTTGTGATCATAAGATAGTATCCAGAAGTAAATTTTGTAAAAATAAAATTCCTGTTTTTCTGTATTTTACTTATAAATGGACTTAGTTTTTCTGCCAGGAAACAATACATTCACTCTGTGGTTAAAGTTTTTAAAATTTTGATAACTTTCTTAAACTATCCTGGATTTGTACCAAACTTGGGCAGAAGCTTGTTTATGATCAAAAGCTAGTATCTAGAAGGAAATTTTGTTAAAATTTTGTACCTGTTTATCCGTATTTTACTTATAAATGGACTTAGTTTTTCTTCCAGTTAACATTAAATACAGTCTGCAGTTAAAGTTTTTAAAACATTTATTAGATTCATAAACTATCCTGGATTTATACCAAACTTTGACAGAAGCTTCTTACAATCAAGAGATAGTATCTAAAGGAATATTTTTATTGATTTTTTTCCTCATTTTTGTTGAGCCTGCGATTAACAGCGGAACCCTTACGAATTTTGTTTTATTCACACTAGTTTACTTCTTTTTATTAATGAATGTCATAAACCCCAGCTATACATGTAATTAGAAATCAATTATAGCTAATGTGCTCCTATACACAGGAGGAAGATAAATAGAAAGAAGTTAGTGTGTTTCCTTTCAGTGTAATATCTAGAGCATATGGATTTGATTTAAAGCTTTTATATTTAATTGATAACAAAATTATTCTCTCAAACAGAAATGTATTAAAAGGTTCAAACTGTTTTAAAATGATTTTTACAGGATTGAGGATATTTGCAAACGGCAAATCTTTTAATCAGGACATAGAATTGTATGTCAAGCTTGACTGGCTTCAATTTTCTGGGGTACAATTAACAAACAATCCTCGAATTGTTACTTTTCAATCAAATGTAATGTTTTGATAGCTGTCATTGGCATGGTAAATAGCAAATTCTAATTTCAATTGTTGACCTTTTCAAAGGAAAAACACAGAGAAAACTGAAAGTATATTGGACTTCTAAATACCGGTCAGAAAAACGAGTGAAAACAGGTCATTTTCTGAAATCCCCAGTTATTTGAATACCCGGCAGGTATTTAAAAAATCCTGTTTGAAGGGGGAAATTCTCTGGTGTGACCCGCAGAATACGGGTCAGTTGACAGCTATGCTAGCAATTTTTGAAGTCCTTCCCAAAACATATGAAAAAATAATGACCTGGACACAGAGAAAAAAGATAATAAAAATACAGTTTATAAAATAAATTTTGTTCTCTTGTCTTTCAGTGTTTGTGTGAAGAAATATCCACAGAACGATTTCATCCAGTTCTTTCTACAAAAGGATCACAGTTAGTAGTGGGCTATGATGAACATAATATAACTAACAATTATAAGATTGGTATAATATACCAAAAATTCCACCAGACAAAAGAGGAAGAACTATTTAGTAATGTAAATCACAGTCCTGCAATGGAAGAATTTTTACTAACAATCGGTGATCGAGTTAAATTAAAAGACTTTCAAGGATTCCGTGGAGGTTTAGACAATGTTCAGGGCCAGACTGGGGAAGAATCTGTTTATACTCAATTCAAAGAAAGAGAAATCATGTTTCATGTGTCAACGCTGTTACCCTTCACAGATGGGGATCCACAACAGGTAAGTCTTTGGTATATAGGTGTCAACACTGTTACCCTTCACAGATAGGGATCCACAACAGGTAAGTCTTAGGTATATAGGTGTCAACACTGTTACCCTTCACAGATGGGGATCCACAACAGGTAAGTCTTAGGTATATAGGTGTCAACGCTGTTACCCTTCACAGATGGGGATCCACAACAGGTAAGTCTTAGGTATATAGGTGTCAACACTGTTACCCTTCACAGATGGGGATCCACAACAGGTAAGTCTTAGGTATATAGGTGTCAACACTGTTACCCTTCACAGATGGGGATCCACAACAGGTAAGTCTTAGGTATATAGGTGTCAACGCTGTTACCCTTCACAGATGGGGATCCACAACAGGTAAGTCTTAGGTATATAGGTGTCAACACTGTTACCCTTCACAGATGGGGATCCACAACAGGTAAGTCTTAGGTATATAGGTGTCAACACTGTTACCCTTCACAGATGGGGATCCACAACAGGTAAGTCTTAGGTATATAGGTGTCAACACTGTTACCCTTCACAGATGGGGATCCACAACAGGTAAGTCTTAGGTATATAGGTGTCAACACTGTTACCCTTCACAGATGGGGATCCACAACAGGTAAGTCTTAGGTATATAGGCAAGTGTCATAAAAATATAGTGGAAAGTGGGGGATGAGCAAACTTCTGAAAGTGAAGTCCATGCATCATAAATTGTTGATTTTAGACTTTTTATAATTTTGATATACATTTTAGTATGTTATAGATCAAATATGAGAATTTGAGTCAAATTGGTGAACCAGAATTTGACAGCTAATGCCCCTTTAACTGAATTTTTACTTATCTCCCTTGCCTATCAATTTGGCACTTAAAAATAGGTGTCACATCGCAGCATAAAAAAGACTTCTTATATTATTTGGCCTTTGGTATAATGCAGATTGCAAGAAGTGTCCAGTAATAAAAAATATCGCCTGCACACAAAGACCAATCAGGATTAGCCATATTCTTAAATCAGAATACCATGTTTTCTTCATAAAATGGCTGCGACGCTGCACTTATGTTACTGAATTGTTTATTGTAACCTTTAATTCATTATATTATATCTATTTAACAGTTACAAAGAAAAAGACACATAGGCAATGATATAGTAGTGATAGTGTTCCAAGAAGAAAATACTCCATTTGTGCCAAATATGATCGCCTCACACTTCCTTCATTCCTTCATAGTGGTACAACCCATTGACCCTAACACGGACCATACCAAGTACAAAGTGTCCGTAGCAGCAAGGAGTGATGTACCACGGTTTGGACCAAGTATTCCTAACTCAGCAATATTTGACAAGGTAAATATAAGATATGGAGAACTGATGGAATGTTGTATTTTTGATGAATATAAGATTTATCATGCTTTCAAATGAAAACAATTATTTGAGAAAGGTCTGATATCAAATACTGTGGATTTATTATTATTTGTTGGATACCAATTTTTGTGGATTTTGTGAGTTAATATGTACCCTGAATTTAACTGTTCAACAAAGTACAAAGGCTTGAAAGCAGACTTCGGTGGAGAGCTGTCTCATTGGCAATTCAATGGTTTAGAAACTGATGCATTCTGGGTAATATTTTCAAAAGCGTACACCAAAACGTTGTGATTGGTTTAAAACGTTTTAAACAATAGCAATTGAACCAATGACGTAACGTTATTATCATTTTGGTGTACAAACAATGAAATTACCCATAGTCCTTTAGTTGGTGTACGAACAATGAGATTACCCATAGTCCTTTAGGTTCTGAAAAGGCGAAATTATACCACATCTTCTTATTTTTATATTTGACAAAACTATGAAAACAAATATCTACTAAAATACAATTGTTTCCTCAATCCATGAAAATTGGTACACACGAAAATATATCAATCTACATTGGATACTACAACTATTCAGGAAATAAAAACTTATTGTGCACCGGATGGTAAGAAAAATTATAAAAATCACACCTGTAATGAAAGAGAGATAAAAAATTTGAATTAACTTTCAACATTTTGATAGAAACTGAAATACAAACTGAAATGGAAAAAAAGTTATCACTTCCATCCATTATTAAGATAATAAGGGCAGATAATTTAAAGAAGTAGGACTAAAATGGTGTTTCAATAATTTGATTAATGGTTTGTTTAATTGTTTTTTTTTCTTCACAGTATAGTCTTTGGTCTCTTTTGTAGATAGGGTCTCAATGGCAAACATACATACCACTTCTCCTGATTTACATCCATAGTTATCATTTGAAAGTTTAACCAATACTTTAAGTTATATATTTTATGGTTATTTTACTTTCATTTTACTTTTTTAGGGACCAGAGTTTAGAGACTTTTTGTTGACAAAGATAATTAATGCAGAAAAGGCTAGTTACAAAGGTGAACAGTTTTCCAAGCTGGAGGTAAGAATAGAAACCATGGTTGCTGTCATAGCAACCATTATTTATTTGACATTTACTGGTTGGTTTCTGGTTTCTTAGACAGTGGTATTATATTCAACCATTCAAACACACTTAGAAACATTTACTGGTCGGTTTCTGGTTTCTATGACTAGTTTTATATTCAGCCATGCAAACACACTTAGAAACATTTACTGGTCGTTTTCTGGTTTCTGAGACTAGTTTTATATTCAGCCATGCAAAAGGTCAAAGAGACATTTAAAGCAACACCAGAAACTATAATCACACTATAAATCATAAAAAGAATTGTAATGAGTAAAATACCCTACACATGCTTAATTTGTTCATGAAATTTCACATGAATCTCACGTGTAAAATTCACTTCAAACAGGCTTATATGTGAAACTCGTGTGAATTTCAATTGAGATTCACATGAACCTCGAGTGAATTTCACGTGAACTTTACCAAAAAAAAATAACATTTTTCATGATTTTAATTTAATTTGAAAATTAAGATGTTATTTTAAGTAATTTTATATTGAAAATTCATGTAAAAAATTGATGGGAGTTACACATATAAGCTTGTATAGATGAAATTCACGTGAAATTCAGTGTAATACACAATAAAAAAACATTTTTTCTTGTAGCAAAGGGGACAAACTCCAGTAATATTCAAATTATGGTTCAGCTAGGTAGACAATCTTTCATTTTATGTATAATCCTACTTGGGGATCATAAACCAGGTAACAGAGCTTGTTAAAATTTAATTAAAAGATTAGGCTATGTTAAAAACGAATTATTCAGTTTGAAAATACAAAAAGCAAAGAAGTATATGCCATGTCATTTTTTTCAGGAGAGAACTCGAGGGGCTCTGTTAGAATGTTTACATACAGAACTACACAAAAAGAACATAGAATTATTTGGACTGTCCATGGTGCCAGGATTTAAACAAGAGAGCAGCAAGCTGATTGGTTCATTTAAACGGGTATTGAGTATGGGTCGTAACCAGAATGAATCAGCATCAACCAGGAAGTCTAATGGGTCATCATTAACCACAGTAGGAGAGGAAGAAAAACCTTCTAGTGTCAGTTCATTCACAAATTTTTAAAAGTTCTAACTTAAATGATTCACTAAGAATGTTAAAGTGATTTAGAAATTATTTCATGAAGTTTTAGTCATCAAGATTTAACTGTTGTATGTAAATGTTTTTTTTTATATGAAACCAGGCCAGTGTTGATATTTCACCTTGACATATAATATTTTTAATTGATTTCATTTTTGAAACATAAAAAAAAATGATATTTATTACTGATTTAGCTTTTGATAAAAAAAAAAAAAGATAAATTGATCCTATAAAAATAACTAATGTTTGATTTTATTGTTAAAAAATGTTTGTTTCTGAAAACATCTGTTACACGGATATTTAACATGATGTGTGAAATAGATACATAGATACTTCTAAATATCCTATAACGGAGGTTTTTAACAGTATATCCTATAACAAAGGTTTTTAACAGTAAAATATTTATAAAATTTAAAAAAATATCAACGTTTTGTATGACTTTATATGAAAATAAGGAGATGTGGTATGATTATCAGAGAAACAACTATCCACCAGAGTTCAAATGAAGTGGATGTAAGCAATTAAAAGCCACTGTACAGCCTTCAACAATGAGAAACAAACAATACCATATATTAAGCTATAAAAGGCCCCAACATGATGGTTTTGTTGGTTTCATCAAATAAGACAATAACTTTTTTTTTTTGTAATTAAAAATTCTTTAATACCAATCAAAGGTTTGATTACTGTTAATAGATTTTTTTGTAATAATTTTTTGTGTGAAGTTAATCTTTTTTTCTACTCAACCATCACATTTTAAAATCTGAACAGAAACACTAATCAATCTGTTGAGCTAATTAGGATCCACATAGCTATTAGTTCAGTCTCAATTATCAAGAAAGGTCTGTACAAATTATAGATTAATATTTTTAAACTTTTTTTTTACAGCCGAAGAGATCCCCAGCATCCAGAAAGAAATATAATAGACAGTCAAGTTCTAGCTCGGAAAAGAAACAAAGAGATAAAACAACCATGTAAGTGTATATTAGGAGCAGGATCTGCTTACCCTTCCGGAGCACCTGAGATCACCCCTGGTTTTAAGTGGGGTTTGTGTTGCTCAGTCTTTAGTTTTCTATGTTGGGTTTTTTGTGTACTGTTGTTTGTCTTTTGGTCTTTTTCTTTTTTATACGCTCGTTTACGGGACGTATTATGGTATACCGTTGTCCGACCGTTGTCAACATGACGGACATTAACTCAAAAACGCTTTAACCAATTTGATTAAACTTTGGTGAATTGTTTATATCTATTGACGTGAGCTCCCTTTCGTTTTTTCATTCAATTCATATAAACAATTTCAAGTTCTTTGACTGCATTAATTCAGAAACCTATGATATGTCAAATATTTAATTACAATCCAAATTCAGACCTGTATCAAGCTTGAATATTGTGTCCATTTTTGCCCCCAACTGTTCAGGGTTGGACCTCTGCGGGCGTATCCAGCTGCGCTCAGCGAAGCAGTTTATCTGCCATGGCGTTGTCAGTTTATTTTTGACAAGAGTTTCAATGTCCCCCTTTGGTATCTTTTGCCTCTCTTTTATATACCAAGCTATTGTTATACCATTTATAATGTCACAATGTATTATTGACTTGTTTTTATTTCAATTTCAACATTTAATCATGAAGGATGTGACTTTATATGCTTTTTCAAATGTTTCCGTTATATCTTTTTAATATTTTTCCCAATAATATTATATACTGTTCATAATGTCACAAAGTATTATTGCCTTGTTTAAATTTCACATTTTGACATTTTGTCCTTAGGAGTTGACAAATCTCAATTTTTGTCTACTCTTTCAAATATTTCCTTTAGATATTTCTATTTTTCCCAATTTCTGCACTTCATTTTATTTTTTTTTTTTATCTTTTTCCTATTTCCTGTTCATTTAAGAAGTCCTAAGATTTCATGTCAACCTTTCCCTTTTGTGTTCAAAAAAATGTTCATAATTTTAAATCTACACATTGTGTACAGTATAAAGTTTGTGAGGTCAAAAGTCATTATTTTGATGTCAATTTAAAAAGAAATAGGTAATAATTCCCTGATAAATTTTGAACATAAAACCATCAAATATCTCAAAATATTCATAATGATTAATTTTAAGGGACAATATCTGTACATACCAGCTCTTGTAACAGAATTATCAAATTTTATATATAAGGGATTTTGAAATATTTATCATAAAAAATGAACTAGTATCAAAAGTATCTCATATTTTGATGCACTACTTTAGAATAACAACAAATTTTATGCACAAATTTAATTTGGAGTTTAGAATTTTCGACCAAGGGGACCAACTTAACATCTAATCCATACCTTTAGACTGTGTAGGGCTTAGGTATGCTATAATGATTTATTTGGATTAAAGGTAAATATATGTTAATATTTGTGATAGAAGTTTCAGTAAGAAATGTTTTATTTTTTTACAGGGTCCAAAGAAGTATAGACAGTCAAAGTACACAGTCCTCCTACAAAACATGTAGTGCCCCATCTAGTCCACAATCTAGTCCAAGTAGTACAGCTTCAGCCCAGAGGTAAGGTCCATAGAATGTAGTCAATGCTACTATAACCCAATTAGCATCAGCCCAGAGGTAGGGTCTATAGAATGTAGTGAAGGCTACAAAAAACCATCAGCCTAGAGGTAAAGTCCATATAATGTAGTCAAGGTTACTTAACACCATACTAGCACCAGCCCAGAGGTAGGGTTCATAGAATGTAGTCAAGTCATAAGGTTTAATGCAGACTTTGGCAAAACCACGAAATCAAATAGCCTCAAAAGAACAAGTTTTCTTCAATCCACGAAAATTGTATCTACGAAAATAATTGAATCCACAGTCGTTCATTCCCAAGATTTCTTTGCCATATATTCATAGTAATACTTCAAAGTACATGTATTTTCTTGAAGTATGCCAATAACATATAACATTCTCCTTTCAGAGTCAGCGGTAACAATATCCAGATCTCACCTTCAAATTCAGAGAGTTCGTTTAACAGTATAGACGACTACGCTCCTACCCATGTCACACATAATCATGAAGACTCAGACACAGGAATGGTAAGTACATTAATATACAAGTACTTGAACATTTTGAAATGAATAAATGGACATATACAGGTACAAATGTAATACTGGTACATCAGTGAAATATCATACCAATTAAACAAAACACAGACACCCAGAGGTCAAAGCTTTCAGAGACATTTAGAGGGTCAAGGTTTTCACACAAACATCCAGAGGTCAAGGGTTTCACACCTACATCCTGAGGTAAAGGCTTCCACACACATTAATTCACAGACATTTAGAGGGTCAGGGCTTTCACACAAACATCCAGAGGTCAAGGGTTTCACACAAACATCCTGAGGTAAAGGCTTTTACACACATTATTTCGCAGACATTTAGAGGGTCAGGGCTTCACACAAACATCCAGAGGTAAATGCTTTAACACAATGATTTAGAGGTCAGAGTTTTCACAGAAGATTTACAACAGATTCAAAATAAAAAGGACACATCAATAACCTTTATGTAAAATTCATCATCATACCAGAATTATTTATGACAGAAACAAGGGAAAAGAACAATGTTTTTATTGAAAGTCTAGTACCAAAATTTATATTTTTCATAAAAGAAATTTATACAAACATACTAATTGAAAGGGAGGTAACATTCACTTTTTATCAATTACATGAGCATCTCCGTAGGATGTGAGAAAGGGAGGTAATTCTATCAGGGTTTTCATTAAGGTGAATTCATGAGTCCTGGAATCTGTCTGGACTGATCATTTTCAAAATTGGTAAGTCCAAAGATGCATCAGGATTGTAAAATCTTGTATCAAATGAGCACAAATATTGTCATTTTATGAAAAAAGTTTAAAAATAATCTAAACTTGATGTCATTTCTTTGCTCTATTTTGTCATGGGGACTGGAATAATTAATGATATAGCAATAAAATTTCATCTTCTCACTGCTGGACTTGCCATGGCTAAAAATGACGAATCCCTGGACTCGCCTTTAAAAATCCTTATTGAGAACCCTGTTCTTTATTACTTGATAATGTAAAATGTCTATATGTTGTCTTGTATACAGGGCTTGGGAAAGGGAAATAACTATTGCATCACTGGATAATGTACAGTATTTATTACAGGAGAGTTTGTCGTCTGCTGGCACCCCAAACAATAATTATATTAGATCAGAAGATGGATTGTACACAGATTTAGATGGTGAGTACTTTTCAATCATGTTATTTTCTATATCTGTTCTCCAAATAAACGCAGATCAATTCAAATTAACAGCAACCAAACAACATGGGGCTGGTAAAAAATAAATATCTAGATGTTATCATATACTTTTCATGAAAAGTAGAATATTACACCATTATAACATGCTCTAAATAGAATATTACACCATTATAACATGCTATAAATAGAATATTACACCATTATAACATGCTATAAACAGAATATTACACCATTATAACATGTTATAAATAGTCCTAAATGAGTATTTCAACAGAGCTATTATAAATAAATGATTGATTAAGTGTTGTTTGCTAACATCCATGAAGTTTATATGACAGATAAAAGATTTTGTATCAACATGTTGTAAAGAGAAGTATATCTAATAGGCTGCACTACTGTAAATATAGACAATGCAATTTCCCATAGGAACTCTTTTTACGGCTAAAACTGTGCCACTTTTACTATGATGTTTCGTAAAAAAATATATCCTAGAATGGAAAGTTCATATGCACTACTATTTTTTTCAAAGGTCAAAACATAGGGTTGTGCAGCATATTTTCAACATTTATATGCCTCAAACTTCTAAGAGCTTAAACATAAACTAAAATTCTGTGCTACCCCTCCCTTCACTTTGGGTCTTTCTAGAAAATTCAATTTGGCCGCTATCCATGTGTATTTATACTGGTAACATTCCCAAGTTATGTCTCTGTGAGATGAAACATAGAGATCATATCTGGAAACCAGTACGTAAACAAAACAAAATATCTATGAATATTCTATATCTCCCAAAAAGAGGCGTGGTTAGTGAAAAAGCTGCATTTACAATGTGCAGCCTATAAAATGGTTCTCTTCTGAAGAACAAAAAACTTTAAATTGGCCCTCCGAAGTATACATTATGAGCATCCTAGTGCCCTATTTAATTATGCATATGAAATATGGCTCAATTTCAGAGGAGTTAAAAGCTTTTATATGTATTTCAGGGAATACTCAACATCATGAAATCCTACGATATGAAATACACAAACTAAAAACCGAGAGGGCAGAAATATTGAAACATAATAAGGTAAATATTAGTAATTTTATATACAGGTGTTATTTATAGTGTAATTATTACATCAATTAATCGCTTGGTATGAGTAATAGGAAAACTACATTTGGTATATTGGATCCTTGTAATGTCTACACGTTCATCTGACAGAGTTCACTTGACTTTGATCTCATTTCATGAATCAGTTTTCGTAGACATGTATGAGATACAATAAGCAATAGGAAAACCACACTGGTAAGATTTAACTGACCTTGACTTCAATGAATCCATTTGTGAATGTAAAATTGTCGTGGTATGTTTTTAATGAGTTATTCCCTTTATAACTTGCCTAAACTTTAGAGTTTGTTGTTTGATGTACTTGCCTATCGTTGAATTTTATATTTACTTATATTATTATGTTGCTGTCTCGTGACATGAACCTTATTTTATTTTTTCATTTTGAAAAATGCCTCATTACCAATGAAAGTATTTAAAAACATAGCATAATAATCTTAATTTATGTAATAATCAATCTTAAGATGATAAACACACTTCTTTTCAGGCATTACAGAGAGATTTAAAAGATTACAAAGACAGAGAAAGGGGTTTAATGTCCCAACTCATGTTATCTCAACTGGAAAACAGAAGATTGTCACAGGCTCCTAACATTGAAATCAGTTCAGAGGCTACTGTGTAACATTTCTGTAAAACCTTTTCTGATTGGCTTACGTAATGGCAAGTTCTGATTGGCTAAATATGTAATTGCAAGAACTTATGGAGAGTGATCAGATTTTTGTTTCTATGAAATGTTTCATTCCCCTGAAACATATGATGATACTGACACCAAAGCATTTATTTGTTAAATGTGTTCTGATTGGATGTTGTTTAGTGTGATAATTCCATCCATTTTATCAAATACATCCATATTGGTAGATTCTGTTACTGAAATCCAAACTGTCAGCTAATCATACAGTCTGATACTGTTGTCTGGGGGAATAAAAGATCAACAAAACTTGCCTGCCAGATGCTTCCATTTGAATGAATGAGTTGAAATATATATGATTGAGTCTTTGTTCATGTCTTTATTACAGCATGAAAAACTTGGTTATTCTTTTATAGAGAAATACAAATATGATGAAATCGTTTTTTTGTGTCAAACTCTTCCGTAATCCATAGATTTGATATTATTTATCAGTCCTATTTCGGAAAGATTCCATTTGTCCTTCGTTTTACAAGTCAAGCGACATGAATTTAAAAGAAAGCTTTCGTTTATACTTATGATCATTACAAAAAAGTGCTATGTATTTTGTGTATCTAATAAATCAATGGTTACAGATTTTCAAACATATAAATTTTGCTGAATAAAGTTCTATTTAGTATATCAACTTCCAAAACGATATAGGAATCACAAAGGAAAAAATAATGTTATTGAAGAAGATGGTAGCAAGTACTATTCTTTTAAATTTCACTTAGAAATCATGGAAGTCTAAATAGTTCTGGAAAATTACGTGAGAAAAGAAGATTAACGCAAATCAAGTCTTGTTCCATAAAATCATATATGCTACTAATTGAAGTCATTAAAAAATAACATCTTCAAGAATATATTTCTATTTTATGGTTTGATCTGCATAAATGTGTTTCACTGGACCAAATGGTCAGAATACCATCTCTATCTTGGATGTGGATACAAAAACAAGAAAGTTTTGATGCAAGTGTCAAAATGGTCAAATTTGTATTTTTTTTTTTTATCTGGCATACGATGGTTTACAGATCTTAAATTTTTTGCAGGTTTTAACATTTGTTTATTTTCAATTTTGATAATTCAAATCACTGAACATATTACGTAAATATATCAAAAATTTATGTCGAGATTTTCATTAATATGGTTATAGATTCTAAAATTTCAATATTGTCAACTTTTTAAAAGGAATCAATTCAATAGAAGTTTTAATGTCATGTGAAATTAGATAAGCTCTGTGGAAACTGGTAATATAATATATTTTATATCTTGGAACAGCTTGTACTGATTTTGTTTTTGCTCAAAGATTTTGAGTAGAAGGTGCTATGACTGCCTGAATGTGCAATATCAATGTATATAGTATTAAATAATTTAACATTGTTGTATATATTATTATTATATTTGTTTCTCAATGATAAATAAATCTAGTCTCTTACAACCTGTATTATTATTGAAATTGGGAAACTTCATTTAAAAAAACAATGTTTTTATAACTGTCATATAACAGTTTAACTGAATAGAAGGAGATGTGGGGGTACACATCATTAACAGAGGTGGATTTAAGGGGTGCCTAGGCCCTATTATGGAGCTTCATATATGATGAATGCATAGACTTTTTACAAGTATCACTCCAGACTATGGCTTGTGAGCCCCCCCTTTTTTTCAAAATCCTGGATCTGCACCTGATTGAGATGGCAAAGCAATGACAAATAAACCAGAAGACAAGCAGAGGTCAACAAATTGTCTTCAACAATAGTCTAGTCTTGTATTTGTTTATTAAAAATACCCATTTGATAAAACTGACAGTAGAAAAATAAGGATTTATGGTATTATTGGCAATGAGACAACTATCCACCAGCGTTCAATTGATATGGATATACATGTCAGCAACTATACACATATACTGTAAATTCAGAAATTATTGTAAAGTTTTAGTTGACAGGGGCGTTTCTAGGATATTTGAAAGAGGGGGCATAGAATGAAATGTTGTGCCGAGCGGAGCGAGGCGAAAATTTTTTCTGACCATTTTTTTCATAAAAAACATAAATATTTGAGAAATATGATAAATTGCCATATTCAATACAATATTACAATATTAGCAGATTACGATAGTTTTTTTTTAAAGGGGGGGTGTACGCCCATTACGCCCTCACCTGGACCCGCCCCTGGTTAATGTGTATGATGAGACCAAATGAGATTTGCAATAATAAGAACTCTCATTCTGATATCAGATACAATTATCTGTACGTAGATTTTCCTAAAATCGCGATAATAAATCTGACATTTTTTTCCATTGTTCATTAATAAATGCACACAATAATTCTCTTAACTTACAGTAGTCAGATATAAAATGGCATGAAATGAAAATGTGAAACAATTCAAAAGAATTAACCTGAGTTTGTAACTATGGAGATGTAACACTCAGTTTTGGAAATATCATATATATATAGTGTTAATATCTGTTTACTGATCTATAATAGTTAGGTTTACCCAATAATTTGATAAAATGTTTTGAAATTTCTGTGAATAATGTGAATAATGTACTGTTAATTCAGAAATTATTGCATGCATGTATTATTGCTAATTTTAAAGACTGAACAAAAAAGCAAGTTTAATTATTGCAATTTTATGAAAAGCTACATACAAATATATGTTCATACAATGTATTTGATATCAGAATGGGAGTTCTTATTATAGCCATACTCAAATAGTCACATTATTTTCATTAATAAAAACCTCGCAATAATTTATGAATTTACAGTAGTTTGATCACAAAAAAAAATTTGTTGCAAGGTGCATTTTACGTAACCTTAAGGTCAAGGTTGTTCCCTCTGTTTTTTTCCGAGTCCTCCACTAATAAAAACTGGCCACCATGATCTAGCCATAGTGGATGAAAGTGGCATTAAACACCAACAAACAAACTAACAAACATATATTATTGAATACAAATACAGATTTCATGATGCTAAATAAAATACGCTTGATCTAATCGTCGTCAAATTTTATATTCTCTTAGACTACAAGATTTATTTCAATTCTGGTGTGTTAATATTTCTGTACAAATGTTGACAATTCTTGATTGACTGAAAAATATTGATGCACAAATTATACTATCTCCACGCTATAAACAGAATGCTTCTTAACAGAACATATAGATATGTCTATATTGTTGATATGAAACAGGTGCGGATCTAGCCATTTGGAAAAGGGAGGTCCAACCTTTTGAATACCAACCCCTGACACACACACACACACACACACAAACATAGATTCCGCCAATGTAAAGTACAAAATAATTATGTTTGATATTTATAAGTTGAAAAATTAAAATGGGTTTCACATTATCAGAATTGATTGTTGATTGGCCTTGACCGAAATGAAATGGTTGCTGAGACCTCAATATTATTGATAAAGACAGGATAGTGATTTTGGAATTGGTTAATTTGAAATCAATGGATCTGAAATTATGAGTGTTTTTTTATAAAACGATTTTCTAGATTTTTGTATTGCCTACAACAAACACAGATCGAGAGACAAAAGGATGCTGCTAGACTTTCCTGTTCATGCATCATTGATACTGTTCAGTTTATTTGGTGCCTTTAGTAAAACCTTTTCTTGTTGGACTTGTCCAATATAATACAACTAGACCAATTCAAGTAAAGCACATCTGATTTATCTGTCCTATTCATATATTATATATTTCCTACCACGAAAATTCCCTAAATACCTAAATAACTTGGTGTGCACCATATGTGTTTAAATATTTGTACTGTTTGAGTATTTACAATGAGATCGTCTGGTATTTCATGACAATGTTTGTTGGATATATTTGCCTGCTATATCCAGTGCAGGCTCAATGCACAGATGTAGTGTCACGGTGATCAAACTCTGTGACTAATACATGAATTTATCTTTTGTTCGCAGTCAAAATCTAGCAAAGAATTCAACTCCAACTAGTGCTAGGGACCGTCTTGAAAATGTAGTGTGATATTGGATTTATAGCTCCGTCTGAAAGACCTCACTGACTTTGAGATGAAAACAATCAATAAAAGCACTGTTCCTATGGGCCGTTTAGTCTGCTTTGGTAACATGCATGTAAGAATTAGTCATGTAAAGAAACCATATCGTTTTTTTCTTCAATTTTATACAGTATCTTTAACTTAAGGCCGAAGATTTAACTGAGATATTTTCATCAAAATATGCTAAAAGGACCGTCTATGATTACTGTAGGCAGACCCAGAGACATATATACACAGTGTCTCGTCCTAAACATGCATAAAATGTTTGCCACTGGACGTTAAGGAACTAACAATCAATCAATATTATATACAAAGTGTGTATACATGTATATGTCTCTGGGCAAACTTACAAGACAGAGCTATTATGAGACAACTATCCACCAAGAAGTGGTATATCCAAATTACATAAGTGTCTTAACAAAGACCATAGTTATATTGCCGTGTTTGCAAAAGATCTCATAGGAAATCAAAATGAGAGCTACTGTGAAACTGCCATACTCTAGGGCGGTTTGTATCATGTCGATACAACAATCAAAGTGCCTCTACATGTGCGATTGTATGAACAATATTTGTCTCCACATCCCTTTACATTCTCCAATCTAAACCTAACAACACAGAGATTGAAAGAATTAGTTCTATAAACAAACAATTGTCAACGTAGATACAAATAACTTGTTTTAGGAAGGAATATAGCATACGTTGTTGTGGGAAAACACTGTCTAAAATAAAACGTTCTTTGAAATTGACAATAAGATTGCTTGATTTTTTTAAGAACAAAATGTTTGTTACGTTTGATTGACATGTTTTTCAACAGACTGTAGGAATTCGTATGGAAACCAGCCGTGCTCCTCTTTCTGTCGAATTGTTCCATAAATGGTATGAGATAGACTTCATATAACTTCACGTTCAGTTATATTAAAGAGGATAACTTCTCTCTGATTAATTTAACATTCGGTGACTATGTAGACCGCATCTATCCCATTGAACTCGAGATGAAGGATAACTCTGATACAATAAGGTCTACCTCATATCTTGACTTGCATCTAGAGATTGGCAGGTTGAAAACTCACGTCTGTGACAAAAGAAATCATGGGTTGTCAATGTTCCGATGGTCAACCTGCCATTTGCATTTTGCATTTTAGCCGCAACTGCATATGCCCCGGGGTATAAACTCTCTTCAAGTTGTTTCGATATTCCAAGGTCTGTGTTTCGTATCATGATTTCCTTGATAGAAGGTTGGTAGTCGGCTAACTCGAAAGAAATTGAAACAACACTTCTTAATGGTAGATATGAAGAATCTGTGAGCATCATGATTTAGTTGTTCGTTTTCGAGTGTGTGTCACTAAAATCACCCCGTAATAAGTGACCATGTTGTTATTTCTTTCTTTCTTCTATAGTTTATTTTTATTTTCGTATCTGTATCGTCTTCCATTTTCGATAATCATCGCGAATATGCGTGACATATTTTCCACTGGACATTAAGCAAACAACAGTTAATCCTTTTAAGTAATATATATCTAAACTTTAATCCACAAATTAAAAAAAAAGGCTCAAAAATTTAGAAAAAGCTTAAATAAAAGGAAACGTAGGGTTAACGTCGTTGAAATCATAATCAATCAACCAAAATGAGAACTAGAGTTTGATAAAAAGGTTTGATTACCCTTAATCCGACTGCCTGTTATTTAGGTATTCTATAATATAATGTACAGTTTCGAATTGTGGCTACCAAAATTCTTATTTTCATAAAAATTATCAACCTTTTATTGACCACAGGGGAGTGGAGACATGATTTTTGAAGAGTGTAACGAGGCGAATTTATTTGTTAACGATTTTATGCTAAAAAATGATATATTTTCCAATCAAAAGTGCCGGGGAGCGTACGCCCTATACTCCCCCCCCCCCCCCCCACACCCACCCCCACCTCCCTGAATCCGCCACTGGATCATCTTCTATAGAAATCGCCCTTCCGGGACACTTGTATTTATCAATGAATGTTGATGTGGATCGTGTAGTCAATTATAAACTATCTGTTTAGTGCTGTTCGTCTGATCTATTTTCTTTTTTTTTCTGTTCTTATTCTTATATTTTGTACAACTATTATTATTATTATTATTATCATTATACTATTATCATGTTTAGTTCATTTAAACTGTAAAAGATATTTTTGAAACAATCTCAAGCTTGCCACAATCATTAATTTCAATTTGGAAAGGGCAATCTCTTAATTATGGTTCATAAAGATGTCTGCCGCTGTAATGGGTGGGATTTTGAGCTGAAGCTAGAGTATGCAGTAGATCGATATCTTCAAAAGTATTCAGAAAATGTAAAATTGGCACAGAACCATTTTCAGTATTGATATTTTGTATTCAGTCATTCCATCACAGTACATGTACATGTATGTCATGCGATGTGGTCGTTACATAGTTCCAATATTATGTTTTAAATTACATAAATGTCATATTGAACAGTTGGTGCTGTTTGCCTTGTCTAACTTGTACCTGCTCTACAATGATGTCCCTTATCATCTCAGTTTTCCTGTTGGCGCATGGTTTAGTGAGCGTCAATGGCGCCTGGAATGCAACAGCGGATTGTGATGACGGTAACGCCTTTGTTTAGCATCTGTTTTCGCGACTCGGAAAGCTAGGCGCATTTAACTGACTTTTTGCACATTCCTGGGTATTTTTCTTTATTGTTCAATTTTCCTCTTTTATTTGTATTACCAAAGTCGTCGTACTAGTATATACAAAATTATTCTTTATAACTTTTATGGAATTCTAATAATTATTAATAATTGTGGAACATATAGCTGATTATTGATAGAATTTCACATATAAAATCTGTAACCAATAATTCATCTTTCTTTTTTTATGGGAGGGGGGACTAGGGGTTAGATAAATGAATAGTTTGAAACGAAATTTCTTGAAATTGTTTCTGAAAGGAACGAAAAAAATAGTTCGTTCCATCGTTTCATAATGTATAAGTTTTTGTTTTATAGGATTGTAATTGTATAAATTTAAACGTACAGCTCTTTTATAGAATGGCAGTTAGTTTTCCGAGCACAGCAAGGAAATGGACAGGGCGTATACAATGAATGGCGGCGGAGCTCTCCGAGCACGTGCGTAGTCTCGTCAGGCTGTCTACCCGAAAATGTCGATCTGGCAATGATGAAAATACCAACAAATAAACATCTCAGAAGTCCTATCATAGGCAAATGGTCATCTTCAAATATCAAACAGGTATTGTACAATAATTTGGTGTTTTAGGTTTTGTACTGCATGGGTAAATCTGGTCCAGTGACATTTATTTTGAAGAAAATTATGATATCTTTGTTTAAGTTATCAAGAGCCTACAGTGATTTGAATATTTTGATATATTAAGATTGTGATGTAACCAAATGAGCCTTTTGCCGAACTTGTATTTCTTACCGTGATCAACTCGACGGGTGCCATATGTGGATCTGCTTACTCTTCTGGAGCACCCTGTTTTTGTTGGGAGTTCATGTTGTTCAGTCTAGTTTTGTTAGATTCTGTTTCGCAGAATAATTTTTTTCTTTTCGTATTTTGCCATGGTTTTGTCCGTCTCTCTTTACCTTATTTGTGTCCAATGAATGCTCTCTTTGATATCTTCTTATCTTCCATTGGAATCGTCCGACACTTTTTACACAATTGCACGAATGCGGAATTGCGGTATAGTATTGGTCTGTATGATTGTGTTAAAATTTCAAAGTCACTACTCAATGACATATCGTTCTGTTTGAGGAGTGTGGCATACTTTAAAATGATAAACACGAAAGTTGGGGAAGATATATTTTTGTTACACACCTTGATTCCTTATATATATTGCAGGTGAAACTGGAACTATTTGACAACGGTAAATCTGTGATGTATATGATCTTTGATGGAAAGAACACAAACTATATGAGCTGGTTTTCTTACTCCAAATTTCTTGAGAGTAACTATGATGATCTATACAATGATGGCTGTTTCTACAAGTTCCAGTTCAGCAAGTATGTTTGTTGTTATCGGTATCATACATTTATGGTCCGAGGTGTTTTCAAATCGCAGCACAAACATGTTATTTTTAAGCGCTGACTGACGTAAACTGAAAAAAAAACTGTATTAAACAAGTCACCGGGATAGAGCTCACAAAAAGGGGAAAATATTGACTACCAAAAGAATCGTACGTGTATAGAAGGATAAAGGAGGGATATTTAGCCGTTTATGGCGTTGAAATGTCTTTTTTTCAAAATTTACATCATTATAAATGCCATACATCTGTCAAATGGTTTAGTGGAAAGGCGTCTCAAATATCATGGCTACTCGAGGAAAAGTATACATGTATATCAGTTTGTTAGGGATGTTTCCGTTTGGCTTATATGGTTCATATTTAAGAAACAATACTTCTATTCTTTTGGTATTTACGGACTAGATTCATTTTATCTTACGATCTGTAGTTATGTCATATTACTCGTTAAATGATCTGTAAACCCATGACGGTGCGAGCAACTTATATTTTGTAAGTTTGACCCTTGCCTATAAGAACACTTGAAACGTTAATTATTAAAGTCATCATACATTTTAATCCGAGTATAATTGTACATGTGTATTTTCAATGTTTGGACTTTTACAGTTGGTACTCTTACTCCTTCATGACACAACAAGACGGTCACGCGTGTGACACCTCGGCACGTGGTTGGTTCTCAGTCACTGATTCACTATACAGTAGTTCCTATAGCTACGCCAGCACCTGTTCTCGAATGAGAGTTAGCAGTTACCCTATCTTCTTGTATGCTAAGAACAACCACAAAACCAGATGGTATGAAAAAAGTAAGTTTTCAATCTATATTGTGCAGCACAGAGTTTCAGTAAAAGATGAATACGACAAAGATCCTTAGGAAGTATACGTCAACGTTAAAACAAATGGTCGGAATAAATAATGGAGTTTTCTTGCTTAAATTTAAAAGAATTTGTTGGTACATGAAATCTGTATCAAAAACCCTCCCTTTAATCAAAGATTTGTATAGTGAGACTATACAAATCCTTGCTTTAATGAAAGACAAGTTTACTAGTCAATCTTGATTATTCTTGAAAGAATTATGGTATTCTACATGTAATAGAGATCGATTATTACGAATAAATATTATCTGACACACGTGTACATATATAGTCTCTCATGGTGAATGACACCTATCATTTTTACTTTCAGAGTATGGTCAAGCTGATGTCCTCGCCGTGTATGTCAAGAGATCTTAGTCCAGATCAGATTAAAAGCTATTGAGTTAATAAAGATTATTGCATTCGATGATTTCATTTATTTCATATATTCATAAAACGTCTACTTGTCTTGTCTAATGAGTGAATTATCAACATTTGGTCACTGGTGGAGAGTTGTCTCATAGGCAATCATACCACATCTTCTTATTTTTATATTAACTACAAAACGTACGGTCAGATTACCACATTTTCTTTATATTTCTATATTAACTACAAAACGTACGGTCAGATTTAATAATCGCAGTTTCATGCGAGAAATTTGAAGGTACATTTCTCAATAGCTACAGCTCGTACATGTGTATACGAATTTTAAGACAAGTAGTTGTCTATTTCAGTTTTCTTCTATTTAAAGAGCTGTTTAAAATGATATAAGATGTTAAAACAAAAATGTGGAAAAATTCCTCAAGCAATTCCATAACTGCAGGTACATATCTTAAATATGTGCGCAATTTTTCTGTGAAGCTTCAATGAAAAATCATGGTTTTAAACTGTAGCCGGAGGTGGTAACCAACTTCTTCTTTCTGCATCTTCCTTCACTGTTTAGCACATCAATTTAATATGGTAACGCAAAATAGGTATGATTTTCCCAGCCAGACTGTATCCCTGTACCATAAGCTGAATTTGCACTTCGTCTTACCTGGCCAAAAAATTGTTCAGGTGTATATAGCGTATTTCTATGCATTAAACATAATACAACCCTTTGTCCTGAACACGCAGGAAACATTTGCCATTGGACGTTAAGCAACCAACAATCAATTAATCGCATAACCCTAGATTATAGTTATATTTATCAGTTTATTATTCTAAGGAGCTGTGGTATGATTGCCAATGAGACAACTATCAAACAGAGTTCAAATGACGTGGATTTGAGCCATTAAAGGTCACTGCATGGCTTTCAACAATGAGCAAACCCCATACCGTATACTCAGCTATGAGAAAATGTGAAGCAATTAAACAAACAAACAAAAAACACCAACCGGATTTATGAAAAAAAAAAAAACAATAAACGAAAAACAAATATAACAGCAACAAACGACAACCACTGAATTACAGGTCCCCGACTTGGGACAGGCTCATACAAAATGTGTCCCGGTTGAACATGACCTTCCCCTAACCTGGGACAGCGGTGTAACAACACAACATATTAATAATCATTTGAAAATGGTTTGACTCATTTGATCGACAGGAGGCACAAAAACAACTTACGCAAAGACAAAAGACTAACAGTACTGATGTAATAGTACATGTACTCGTGGTTACTGAAAGCTAGTTCAAACCCAACACAACCAAGTTCTAACATCTAAGATAAGATATTTTAGTGGTTTAAAATCCAAAATTATAGGATTCTATGTTTTTGGTAACCTACAATAAATGGGGATTTCGGTATATTCAGAGGGATTGGGATATTTCACTGATGGTGTGATGTAGTTGCACAATTTTCTAATTTACCTGTATTGTAGTCTGGTTTTGGATAAAGCAATGTGAATAAAAAGAGATGTGGTTATACATCAATGAAACAGCAACCCAACAAAAATAACATCTAGAGATCAGTTCGTGGTCTTTTTCTTAACAATTGAAAAATGTGTATGCAGTATTTCAAGCTATAAATTGCCAGTCTAAACAACGGGGAATACATTTAAAAAAGAGGGGAATACATTTAAAACTATCAAGGATATGACCTCAGCCTGAAAAAGAGGGGAATACATTTAAAACTATCAAGAAACGACCTCAGCCTCAAAAAGAGGGGAAAACATTTAAAACTATCAAGGATATGACCTCAGCCTGAAAAAGGGGGGAATACATTTAAAACTATCAACGATATGACCTCAGCCTGAAAAAAGAGGGGAATACATTTAAAACAATCAAGGATATGACCTCAGTCTGAAAAAAGAGGGGAATACATTTAAAACAATCAAGGATATAACCTCAGCCTGAAAAAAGAGGGCATACATTTAAAACTATCAACTATATGACCTCAGACTACTATTACACGGTCACCATCATAATAGTAGTCTCGTTTTCAAAGCCAAATTCTCAAAAACATCAAGATATAACTAAAATCTATTACTGACACTGACAAAAGTATATTTTGAAAAAAATAATCAGGACTGATTCTGCCACACTTTTACTTCTGTATTTAGAAAATGTAGAAACTAAAATGTGTTTTTGGTAAATATTTAACTGAGATTTTTTAACTTAGGAAAGTCCTTTTTAAGGATACTTTGTCTTTGTTTTCAATATTTCAGTACATCCATGTGTGCTTTACATAATGTATCTAGTGTGGTTGGCTTCCGTGATCTATTGTCTACTAAAACAAGAGGCATACATGATGTTTTTATTACATTAAAAACACTACAAGACAAGATTGACATACCCGTAATTATGTTTTCCAATAAAAATTCTAGGGTCAACATAAACGAGCTGGGTACTTAAATAGTAATGGAATTTAGAACCAAATTATTTTTTCAACATTTTTTATAAATTCAGTTTTTCATAAAAATTTAATGTGTTTTCTAAACATTGAAATTTTTCATACAATCATATATATACATAAAGAAAATATTAAACTACATGTTTAACCTTAATGATTTTTGCAATAATTGAATTTCAATACAATTCATTTTTATTTACCCAATTACTTTTTTTTAAGAATTAGACCCCATCACTGCATAATAATTGAACATGGATATTTGAGTCCTTACAACAAATGTGTTCAACTGAAGGGGAAATAACTGTACCTCAACTCAAGGGGATATAACTGTACCTCAAATTAAGGTATAACAGTACTGTAGTTGATGAGTTGCTGTCATCAAATCAAACTTTACAGCGGCAACTATTCAACTACAAGTACTGTTATTCCTATTCTAACGCATTACAAAAATTATAGTGCATTAGAGCTTGTAATAAACTGTTGACACAGAGATATGTCTCGCCTATTTGAAATTTTGATAATGCAAATGTTGAAATTAAAATAGCAATACTTTAACATGTAAGTAATGCAAATATTCAAAGTCAATGAACCATGACTAAAGGTACATGGCTAAACAATCTGCATGGAAATGAGATGAGTCAATGCTAATACAACTGCATACCAAATATCATTGACTTATCATAAGTCGTTTCCTTTAAACAAGTCTAAACACAAACATTAACTTGTAAACTATGTAAAAGTTTCAAAGTCAATGAACCATGATGAGGGGGTGGGGCTATATAATCTCCATAGAAATGAGACTTGCAAATGCCAATAAATTTGCACACCAAATATCATTGACTTAACATAAGTGGTTCATCTTAAACTAATCTAATTACAAACTAATACATGTAAACTAAGCAAAAGTTTCAAAGTCAATAGACCATGACTGAGGGGGTGGGTCCAAATATTCTCCATGGAAATGAGATGTGCTAATACTTATACAACTGCATACCAATTAACACTGGCCTACCACTAATGGTTCCCCTTGAACTGACCTAATCACAAACTAATACATGTAAACTAAGCAAAAGTTTCAAAGTCAATAGACCATGACTGTGGGGGCGGAGCCAAATAATCTCCATGGGAATGAGATATGTCAATGCTTATACAACTGCATACCAAATATCATTGACCTACCACTAGTGGTTCCCCTTGAACTGACCTAATCACAAACTAATACATGTAAACTTAGAAAAAGTTTCAAAGTCAATAGACCATCACTGAGGAGGCAGAGCCAAATAATCTCCATGGAAATGAGATATGCCAATGCTTATACAACTGCATACCAAATATCACTGACCTACCACTAGTGGTTCCCCATAAACTGACCTAATCACAAACTAATACATGTAAACTAAGCAAATGTTTCAAAGTCAATAGACCATGACTGAGGGGGCAGGGCCAAATAATCTCCATGGAAATGAGATGTGCCAATGCTAATACAAATGCATACCAAATATCATTGACCTACCACTAGTGGTTCAACACAAACTAGACCTAACCACAAACTAATACATTGTTGACGCCACCGCCGCCGCCGACATCGGAACCAGCATACCTATGTCTCGCTTTTTGACTCCGTCAAGGCGAGACAAAAATGTATAAATTTAAAATTTCGGAAAACATGCTGAAGATTTCAATTTATAAAACATATAAATGTCTACCCCTAAAGATTGACCTTAGTATGGATTTTTTTCTCAAGGAACACAATAAAATCCACACGCTGAAAACTAAAAAAATTCTGAAATTATTAGGGACTATTTTGTTAGCACAGTAAAACTTCTCTTCAAAGACGAAGAGACAAACAGTTGACCATTTGCCAAAAAATATATGTCTAATCCTTGAAATGTGTTTTCATGTGTCGTCTCAGATAATCACGTCTCAAAAAGGCCTGATTACTTTCTGTACAAACATGACGTTTTTCTCCTGTATGTATTCCCATGTGAATTCTTAAACTTGCATTTTGTGTAAATGATTTATCACAGACATCACAGGTGTTAGGACATAAACCAGTGTGGGTAAGGTCATGTCTCTTTAGGTCGGCTAAAGATTGGAAAACCTTGCCACATTCAAGCATTGTACACAAATAGCTTTTTCTTTTGAACCGTACACCTTTGTGTACAACCTGTACATGTTTTTGAAGGTAGGCTTTAAGCGCAAAAGATTTCCCACAGTCTTTACAACTATAAGATTTGACATCCGAGTGTGTTACCATATGTTTTAGTGTCTTTACTATAAGATTTGACATCCGAGTGTGTTACCATATGTTTTAGTGTCTTTACTATAAGATTTGACATCCGAGTGTGTTACCATATGTTTTAGTGTCTTTACAACTATAAGATTTGACATCCGAGTGTGTTACCATATGTTTTAGTGTCTTTACTATAAGATTTGACATCCGAGTGTGTTACCATATGTTTTAGTGTCTTTACTATAAGATTTGACATCCGAGTGTGTTACCATATGTTTAAGTGTCTTTACAACTATAAGATTTGACATCCGAGTGTGTTACCATATGTTTTAGTATCTTTACTATAATATTTGACATCCGAGTGTGTTACCATATGTTTTAGTGTCTTTACTATAATATTTGACATCCGAGTGTGTTACCATATGTTTTAGTGTCTTAACTATAAGATTTGACATCCGAGTGTGTTACCATATGTTTTTGTAAGTAACTTTTATCATTAAATCCTTTACCACATGTTTCACAAATGTATTCTCCTTTTTGTTTGTGTGTCTGTTCGTGTCTTTGTAATGAAGTTTTATTGGTAAATCCTTTGCCACATTGAGAACAAAGATGAGGAGCTTCTCCATTGTGTCTGCGTATATGGTCTTGTAAATGGGTATTCCTATGAAACCCCTTACCACAACTATCGCAAACAAACTCTTTCTTATCTGAGCGAGTATTTCTATGCCTAACTAAACTGCCCTTGGATTTGAACCCCATATTACATGTGTCACTATATAAATAACACATAGCTGAGAGGGTGATAGAGCAGATTGTTACCCCGAGAAAACATTGTCAACCGCTGCGAAGCCAAGGCTGACAATGCTTTTTCGAGGGGTACCAATCTGCTCTATCACCCTCTCAGCTATTTGTTATTTAATTTATTATACTGAATGTCCTATCATTATTGTCTTTTACAGATTAATTTTATTGTAAAAGTATTTTCTATGACGTCACGTACATAACAACGTTATGGGTATTAGAAAAAACAACAAAAGTGAGGCAAGATGTTTTATTTTTTTATTTTGACAGTCAAATAATAAAATCTGAGCCAAAACGTAGAACTTAAGCATTGTATTTAATTACTTGATGTAAATTCAATTCATTGTCCTTTAAATTATCGATTTTTGATTGGTCTGGACGAGAGGGTGACATTCAAAAAAATTGTCACCCGCTCAGCCATGTGATAGAGTAAATTAACACCCTCGTACTAGCCAATCAGAATATGGCATTTTAACGTGAAGTATAATAAAAATATATGGTCTCTCGTCTGAATCTTTTTTTTTTGGTGTTCAGTCAAAGAATTCCTATGTCTGAAAGACTTGCAGCATGTGTCACATTCATGGTACTTTATACGATCTTTAAGACAACGATGATCATGGAGTCTAGTCTTTATATTAAAACCTTTACCACAAGTTCCACAAGTAAACTTTTTATTTCAGAATGAATTTGTTTATGATTTTTTTTAGATTATTCCTAGTTCTAAAATGTGTACCACATAAGTCACACAACCATTGTTTATCATGTTTACTTTCAGTTTGATGTACCTGAAGTTTATTTTGATCAATGAATTCTAGGCCACATATTTGACAACTATGCAAAGGATGTCTAGAATGCATGCCTTCATGCCTGTCTTTTGTATAATGTATGACTTCATGCCTGTCTTTTGTAGAATGTATGCCTTCATGTCTGTCTTTTGTAGAATGTATGCCTTCATGCCTGTCTTTTGTAGAATGTATGCCTTCATGTCTGTCTTTTGTAGAATGTATGCCTTCATACCTGTCTTTTGTAGAATGTATGCCTTCATGTCTGTCTTTTGTAGAATGTATGCCATCATGCCTGTCTTTTGTAGAATGTATGCCTTCATGTCTGTCTTTTGTAGAATGTATGCCTTCATGCCTGTATTTTGTAGAATGTATGCCTTCATGCCTGTCTTTTGAACTTTTATGTCAAAAGGATTTTTCACATGTTTTACATTTGTATGGCTTTGATCCATTATGAATACGGCTGTGAACATGTAAATTTTTTTTAGATTTGAATTGCTTTTTACATATTTCACAAAAAGACTCTTTTTTTCTCTTCTTTGTTGTACTTTCTTGTTTAAGTGAAAAATCAATTTGCGAATCAAATGTTCCATTGACATCTGTCTTTTCTCCTGTTCCACTGACATCTGTCTTCTCTTCTGTTCCACTGACATCTGTTTTCTCTCCTGTTCCACTGACATCTGTCTTCTCTTCTGTTCCACTGACATCTGTTTTCTCTTCTGTTCCACTGACATCTGTTTTCTCTTCTGTTCCACTGACATCTGTCTTCTCTTCTGTTCCACTGACATCTGTTTTCTCTTCTGTTCCACTGACATCTGTCTTCTCTCCTGTTCCACTGACATCTGTCTTCTCTCTTGTTCCACTGACATCTGTCTTCTCTCCTGTTCCACTGACATCTGTCTTCTCTCCTGTTCCACTGATATCTGTCTTCTCTCCTGTTCCACTGACATCTGTTTTCTCTTCTGTTCCACTGACATCTGTTTTCTCTTCTGTTCCACTGACATCTGTCTTCTCTTCTGTTCCACTGACATCTGTCTTCTCTCCTGTTCCACTGACATCTGTCTTCTCTCTTGTTCCACTGACATCTGTCTTCTCTCCTGTTCCACTGACATCTGTTTTCTCTTCTGTTCCACTGACATCTGTCTTCTCTCCTGTTCCACTGACATCTGGCTTCTCTTCAGTTCCACCTAGTTTAGGTGACAGTAACTCTTCTGCCACATAATTATCAGAGGAACACCTTTCTGAGTCAGCTGTTATCCTTTCTTTATCATCAAAATGTCCAAATTCACTATTTTGCTCGTGATTAACTGTACAGTTTGTAGAACATATTTCCTTCATGACTGTGTCAACCTTACTAAGTTCACAATCAATGGTGCAGCTTGAGGTATATTTTTCCTGCAAGATTGTATCAACAGTACTTGGCAGAGTTGGCTCACTAGCAATTGTACAGTTTGCTGAAAATTCTTTCTTTACGTGGGTATTTACCTTACTTTGCTCATAATTAGTGGTAGAGCTTATAGCAAAGTCTTCCTTCAAGATTGTATCAACAGTACTTGGCAGAGTTGGCTCACAAGCAATTGTACAGTTTGTAGAAAATTCTTTCTTTATGACAGTATTAATCTTATTTTGCTCGCAATTATTGATAGAGCTTGAAGCAAATTCTTCCTTCATGATTGTATCAACAGTACTTGGCTCACAATCAATTGTACAGTTTGCTGAAAATTCTTTCCTTATGACGGTGTTAACCGTACTGTGCTCACAATTACTGGTAGATCTCGAGCTTGTAGCAAATTCTTCCTTCATGACTGTCAACCTTGTTCAATCTTTTAACATCATCCATATCTTCCTCACACATGTTTAGGAAAGAGTTGAACTTTTGCTGATGGAATTACATGACAAATGATTTCATCTGGTGACATTGGATTAGAATTTGAACGTCCATATTTTCATGATAATCTAATATTTCATATTTCTCAAATGATCTAATTCTAGATATATGATCTCAAATTTCATATTTTATATCAGTATTTTATTAATTGTCTAAGAGTTCCACTGTTTTTTGTTGTTTTTTTAAAGAAAAAAAATGTTCTATTGAAAATTTGTGTGAATACATCAGTCTTTCCAATTCAACACAGAGATGAATTCTTCAGTAAAATCTTGTATTGGTAACTTCTGTCAGTTTTACCTGAAAATATATAAAAAACAGATGATTATTTAAATGATTTAACACAAAGTTCACTGAAGGGGTACACGTATCTACAAAATGTTAGTAACAACTTAGAAGTCATCTACCTTAAAACAAAATTTTGACCTGGTTTTGTAATGGACAAACGGAAAGAACTATTAGACAAGACGCCTTCAAAAAGTACATAACATTCCTTCTCATCACACGTGTACATATATTAAATGAAGTTCTTTTCTTGATAAATGTGTATATGTTGAATGTTTTAATCTACTCAATCATTGAAATCATGTTTAGTCATATTAGTATTGTATGTTTTGTCTTGTAGCAATAATTAAATTGTAATACAGGATCTTCCAATTGGTCCTTTTTCCCTGAAAAAATTGAGGTCACAAAGCAAATACATAAAAAAGGCATTGAAGACCGTACTTTGACCTATAATGGTTTACTTTTATAAATTTTGACTTGGATGGAGAGTTGTCTCATTGGCACTCATACCACATCTTCTTATATCTATTGTATCTTTATAATATAATTTCCTGTGATCATGGTGATGCATTTTCCCCCAAAATGACCTGAGGTCAACCAAGGCAGTTCATTCATAAAATAAAAATTAGAATCTTGTGTATTATTTTGCTCTATTGATAAGGGCACTTTGATAAGTTAGTGAAATTATTGTAATGTAGGTTGGGAATAAAATAAGCACGAGGCATCATATAAAAATGGTAGATGTTGCACCCGCTGAAAATGGTTTTGTTGGAAGGTTGGTATGTTAATCCCTTTTGATATTCTGTGTCTGGAATGATTTTCTTATTTGGACGGCCAAATCAGAAAATTGCTCCAGACACAGAATCCCAAAAGGGACTAGGTTAATGCTTGCTAGTACAGCACAGGTTTTTTGTCTTAACTGTACCAATAAAGTGGAGATAAGAAAGGTATCTTAATTCTCAGAAGACAACACTGGAAACTGGAGTTGATTTTGTGTAAACTTTCATGTGAAAATGTCTTAGTTTCTGCTCTTGACACTGGATGGTCGCTCATGTAATTTAAAACGCCTTGCATGTAAAAAAAATAATTCTTTTCATTTGTACTAAACTCACATGTACTAATAAGTGGCAACGGTTATGTAAAATTCATCAAATCAAAACGAATGAAGAATAAAATCTCCCAAAAAACTCTGATAAATCTTGAGATAGGAGAGTTGTCGTTCTTTTCAACCAATAATAAAAAGTTCTAAATCCAGGTGTAGGGATCCCTTATGAAAAAAAAACTACTCTTGTAGTTTCTGTCCTGTTTCTTTGTAAAGTTCACAATGATCACCCCAGAGAATCCTGAAGAAACACATGGCCCTTCTAAAAGATTTTGAACATACATCAAGCACAGAAAAAGTGATAAAAGTGGAGTGGCACCTCTAAGAAAAAATGGTAGCTTAGAAACAGATCCAATCAACAAAGCAAACATATTAAATGAACAATTTCAATCTGTATTTTCCACAGCAAACAACATCAGCAACAGTGAATTCTACAATCAAAATCATATGTCCGACTCACCAGAAAATTACCCTGACTGTAGAGACATCCTTATCACAATCAACGGAGTAGAAAAACAATTGAGAAACCTAACCCACACAAAGCCGCTGGACCGGATAACATCAGACCAATGATACTCAAAGAACTTGCCAGCGAAATCGCTCCCATACTTCATACTTACCATCATATTTAATGTTTCAATGGAGACAGGCAAAGTTCCAGATGACTGGCGGACAGCTACAGTCACACCAGCATACAAAAAGGGTCAAAAGTACATCCCAGCAAATTACAGACCAATATCTCTTACATGTATTTGCTGCAAGATCATCGAACATATTGTAACCAGCCACATTATGAAACACGCAGAGGCAAACAACATCCTTTATCCACTACAACATGGATTTCGAAGTAAACGATCCTGCGAGACGCAACTCTTAGAATGCATTGATGACTTAACGAAGTACCTTGAATTGGGAAAACAGTCTGACCTACTGATACTAGACTTCTCAAAAGCATTCGATAAGGTATCCCATAGCCTGCTCCTACATAAACTCAATCACTATGGAATCAGGGGAAAGACCAACAGCTGGATAGAAGCGTTCCTGACAAATAGAACCCAAGTAGTAGTAGTTGAGGGTGAACAGTCAGACAGAGCAAAGGTAGAATCTGGAGTAACACAAGGGTCAGTCCTAGGCCCTAGTCTATTTTTGTTTTACATAAATGACCTAGCGAATGACCTAAAATCAACAGTTCGTCTCTTTGCTGATGACACAGTAGTCTACTTAACCATCGCCTCAGATACTGATTGCCGACACCTACAGTCAGACCTTGATAAACTGGCACTATGGGAGGAAAAGTGGAAGATGGAGTTTCACCCAGAAAAGTGTAGCGTACTGACTGGCTCCAGAAAGAAAAAGCCAATCAAATGGGACTATGTATTACATGATCATGTACTAAAACATGAAACATCAATTAAGTACCTGGGCTGCACCATCACAAGCGAACTAGACTGGGGAGAACACATCAACAACATTACCAGCAAAGCCAGCAGAAGCCTTGGTTTCCTCCACAGAAATCTACACATCGGCTCTAAAAGCATCAAAGAGCAAGCTTACAAAACTCTAGTAAGGCCCCAACTAGAATATGCCACAACAGTATGGGACCCATATCATCAGAAACATATTGACCAAATTGAAAAAGTCCAAAGGAGGGCTGCGCGATACGTCACCAAGTGCCACAGAAACAGATCAAGTGTCACGGACATGATTAATGAATTGGGTTGGAAAAGTCTCCAAGAACGACGCAGAGAGGCCAGGCTCGCAATGATGTACAAGATCGTCAACGACAAAGTAGCCATCAACAAAGACATGTACCTTCAGAGACCATCCAGAGTATCCAGACATACACAACAGCATGGATACATGGTACAAACAGCAACCAAAGACTGCAAGAAATGGTCCTTCTTTGTGAACACCACCAAAGACTGGAACAAGCTTCCCACGGAGATCGCCACAGCACAGTCATTTGAGACATTCAAATGACCGACCTTTCAAAATAAGATGAACATTTGTTTTTATCCTGTTTTTAACCATGCAGAACCAATTTGCCAGTATATTCAGAAAGTTGAATGTGGGCAGTATATGGAAGAAGAATGAAGAAAATAGTGGTCGATTGTTTCTACTTGACTGCATTCCCACTTTGGATCTGTATTTATTTTAATCTAAATTTATGTTGATAATTATTTAGATTATATCCTGATCTTAAATTACTGATAATGCATTAGGCGAGTGAAAATTTTCAAAAAGACGCTTAGTTAACGACTTTAATGCACCCACCTAACATACGGCTATATTATATATCATTCGAAAGCTTATTACCTGTGCTTTCTTTTTTGCCCGGTCGTCAATAATTCGTACGGTGCAATTTTCGTTAAATCAAGGTCAAAGGTCAAAACTGAACATTCCAAACGTTTGATAGAATTACACAAAAAGCCATTTTCTGGTACTTGTATGGTATTTTTTTCCTAAAAATTATCTAAACCTTATAAAACAAATTACCATGATTTCAAATCAAGTGCAAACTTAAATGTTGATTGCGCTATATCAACAGAAAATTTGATTTCTTGAATAAACTTCCAAAAATGATAAAATTGCAATAAAATCTAAATGTTTTCTGAAATTTGAATATTTGTATGTCAAAAATAGAATAGATTTATTGTTTATAGACCGAGGGAATTTTTTCATTATTTTAAACTGCAATTAATATGATGTAGGTCCAGATGCAGCCTTCTAATGAAGCTTTTGTAGTTGCCCAAAAAAACACCATCTGCAAATGGGGATCATTTTGCTTTTTTTTTGCTAGATAATATTGCTAATATCGGCAGATAATGATCAACCATATTTAGAAAAAGGGTAATGGAAGAACTTTAAGGAACAAAAGAAGTATATTTGGTAAA